TGTCATGATTGAGTGACCAACACACATCAGCTGGGTCGCTTCACATTCACTCCCATTAATAAGTTCATGGGATAGTGTAGCGTGCATCGGATCTGCACTTCAGAATCTTGCCAGAAGTAGGTCATCCGGGTACTTCTCGCATACTTTTTTTCGAATTCTATGAATTTGCATACAGTTTTTAGCATACTATACTTTATGGAAGCATGCAATTTTGAACATAACCGTGGTTGACAAACACTGCACCAACAAACTCCACGATCAAAGGTTAAAAGCAGCCAACTACAATTGAAGATTTAGTTTTATATTATTTTATATGCCTGACATTAAAACCATGTGGAATCCTCTTGAATGGTCACGTAATGAACATTGGTTTCCTCTACAAACAAAACTAGCAAAATCATTTCTTGTTGTCCTTGGTACTAGCACACGAAGTGAAATAATTTTTCTTTGGCCAGCAACACTGCAACAAAGCAAAGAGGAATCCTGCATCTCTCTCACGTGGATGCGCTTCCATGAGCTTGACCAAAGACGGTCTGTGGCTAAAGGATGATAGCGGAGATGACTTGTGTTCTTTATAAAGTTGTATAAAGTACGATTTTATTCCTTATTTCTGTCAAAAACAGGGTAAATATAATATGATTACATTGCAAGGCACGCATTTTTCATAATTCCGTTGCGTTTCTTTTCTTTTTCTACATGGTCAGCATGTTAAAATATCATGTAAGCATTTGTTTGTTTTCTGTGTCTACAGATATTTTATTTATTTTAATAACTATTTGTTTTATTTATTCATAGTTTACTTGTTTTCACTTTGGCTGTTTATTGTCACTCGAATTGTTGAACAATTTAATTTCTGAAGTAAAAAAAAAAAATTCTAATCAAATATTAAAGTTTTTTTTTTAAATTAAACTACTTGTTATATAACAGATTATTATGTGCGTGCACCTGGATGTTTGCATCTCCAGGCTGGTTGAAGGCTAATATATTAACTCATTTTGTATTTTATTATTTTATTTTGTTTTCAATATGCATTTTAGGTTTCAAGTGTAGCTGACTTCTTTTACTTTCCATAGCCTACATAAAAAAAAAATTCAAAGGTAATACGTAGCCTAAATTTTTTTCTTTATTATTATTATTTTTTATGCATTTTCAATTTTAACTATTTATGTATTATTTATTTATTTAAGGTAGTTATTGTTTGCGGGTGAGCTGTATTGTTAACGAGAACATTTTTTTCTTGCCGAACTGGTTTCAGTAAAAAGTTTCACTTTTAAGCTATTATTACAGCTGAATACTTGTTAAATAATAAAGTTACTTTAATAACTTAGTAAAGAATTACAGGATGCACATGTTCGTTTTGCATACAGGAAGCCTATGACACAGATGTTAAATAACAATGCTGCGTACAGCTTTTAATTTTTATATTACTCTGTAACTTAAAAAAAAAATGTAATATTGACAATTTATGTTAGGCCTATGAAATGGTTGCATTCGGCTAAAAATGAATGAAAGACGTTTTGAGAAGGATTTCTTTCTGTCTTTAACTAGTAGCTCAAAACACAGGCAGTCGAATAACTTGAGTATTGTTTTGAAAAGAAATCAATTATCAGAAACTAGTAGTTAGTAGTCATGCAAGCCCTAACATTCACATCCATATTTATATACTCGTGTCACAAGGCTGCTTTTTGAATTCATCTTGAATTTGAATAGCACATAGGTTAGTGTATATTCCATTCAGCTGTTTTTATGTCAGCTTAAAATATTTAATCTATAATGCTCAAAGCATAGTTGTGTGTCTAATATTAAACTTTTATGACAAGTAGCCATGTAATAAGCAAGTTAAAGTGCATCCAGGTGGTTGTTTTTTTCAGAATAAAGCCATTCAATAGTATTCAGGGCTTTATTCTGTGAAAACAACCTGGATGCTCTTATGTAGATACTGTACACAATATATGAAGAATCTAATTGCAAAATCCCATGGTAAACCATTCAGAATTCCAGAGAACTGCATGATAAACCATTCACTGTGAAGGATAAGTACAACTGTTATCCAAATTGCCAAATCTAAAAAATCTAAAATCAGCACCTACCTGATTTTAGTGATTGAAAAAAGGATGACACCACAGTTAATTCATTATAAAAAGAGACTTTATTCTGCAGTCAGTGTGGAGTACATTCACAGGTTCTCTTAACAGTACTCTTTGGCTTCACCGATGACATCATCAAACGACCATTTACAGCAACCATTCATTAAACATGCACACAGACATACTACAGCCACCTGGAATGACAAGCCTATACAGTACACCACATACTACAGGCTTTTAAAGGAGTGAAAGCTGAACAGATGCCTCATTTAAAATAATACATCTGTTATTTGAAATGACATCAAACAGAACGAAACATAAATGAGAGACTTAATGGTGTGGATTCCAAGCACCAAACACCCTATTATATATATATATATATATATATATATATATATATATATATATATATATATATATATATATATATATATATATATATATATATATACACACACACATACATACACACGTGTTTGAATATAGATCTTTGGTCAGATTTAAGCACTCGCTGATTAACCGCAAGCTAAACTGAAGTGATTTCTACAAACACTAATTAAAAACTTACAAAATTTAATGTGGCTGAAAACAACACTGTGAGGGATAAACACAATTATTACTATGGTGATGAACGTATACATGTCCGAGATCACAATTTTCATAACTTATTTCCTTTGGGTCTAGCTAAAGTTCTTTGTATTAGATGTTTAATCAGCAACAATCAGTTTAAATGCACTGAACACACAATTTTTAGCCCTCACAGCTTGTTTTTATCTACATCAGATTGAAAATATGGCAGCACCACGACATCTATTGTATTGAATTGAATTTCACCATGATAAATATTTGGTCAACATAGAGTACACTGACGAACTTCTCTCACCCTGTCGTCCAATAATTTCCTTCTGCTGGTGTGTTTAGGTTACACATTTATAAAACATTTTTATAACATTTAAAAAAAAGCTGAATAAGTAATCCAGTCAAACTAGTAGTTACAGTTAAATATTCAACAGTAAATGGTGTTTAAAGGGATAGTTTACCCAAAACAGATCATCATTTGCTTACCCTTCACTTGTCCCAAACCTGTTTGAGTTCTTTTGTTACTAAAACTAGTAACCCTTGACTTTAATAGTGTTTGCTTTTCCAACTATTAAAGTTAATAGCTGCAACTCATCACACAGTGATACCGGTAAATATCTAGTAGATTACTGGAATGACTTTACTGGTACAAACAAGAAGGCTACGGAATTTTTCCGGAAAAGACAAATTCACACATCTATTGTAAAATACCAGTAAATTCTGACATCATTAACCAAAAATGAGCTCTAAAAGGCTGTGCTTGTTTTAAACAATCACACATGATCCTTTTCTGAAAAAAAAATGCTGGTAATTTTCTGGAAAGGTCTTTATGTGTGAAAGGGGCTAATGGTTACAGTTTTCATAATTTTTCTAAATATGTGTGTGTTCAACAGAACAAAGAAACTCGAACAAGTTTGGAAAGTGAGTAAATAGTGAGTAAACATTTATTTTTGGTTGAACTATCCATTTAAAACTATTTACTCTTACACAATATCTACCTTCAGAAAACAGCAGGCATATTATATTTGTGCTCTTCTGCAATATAAATTTTTTTTAATAAAATTAAAACACAAAACGTTAGACTTCATTTCTGTATACTTGACCATAAAAAGATTAGCAAATGTTTCTTTTTTAAAACAAATTTCTAAAACCGAAAACAAAGTAGAACAAAAATTCTGGATTCCACAATACCTTCATGTTGTCCCAACACAAATCCATTAAGTTAACTTAATTGTTTTTAAAATAAATTTAAGTGGATTGAACACCAAAATACATGTGTTTCAGCGCATTTTAAATAAGGAGTTTGAACAAGCATCAAAAATCATTATTTTGAGTGTAGATTCGACAGAAAAAAAAAAAGTGTTTCAAACAAACATTCATACACCACACAAAGGAGAAGCTGCTTAATCTCATGCTAGCTTTAAAACAAAACAAAAATCTGTTTCCGTCTAGATTCACTTCCTTATCATTGGAATTCATCTAAAACGGAACAAAACTTGAGCATATCCCACCTTTTTTGTGTGCAGACATGGACCTGCACACAGTGAGCTTTCTCACCTGCAGCCTCAAGGCCATTTCCACAGTCTCAGACAAACAACCTTGAAGCTTTGAGACACAAGGCGTACTCTCTGCATGTGACCCATAGATTATTGTGCCGGCATTAACCTTCAAACATAACTTGACCATTGCTGAAATTTATTAGTGTAGGCATAAAGACGAAGAAGGCAAAAATCAGCTCTTAACAGTCAAAGTTCAAGGCTTCCTGCAACATTTTTTAATAGCTAGAGTATCAGCACTTGTTAGTGTGACCGGCATCTGAGGTGTTTTAAAGGGAATCGGCAGGAATGAGGTATTTCAGAGCGCCATTATATTATGTGTGTGTTGTGTTAGAAAGGGAAGGATTTAAGATTATTTCTGCATGTGCTTTGGCTTATATCAGGAAAATGTTTTGCACTAAAACAGCTGAGTTTTCATTTAGGAGCATATTCAGAATAATTAGGGGTATGCATAATATTAATAATAATAATAATAATTAAATCATAGATAATAGCAGTATTTTAAAAGGCCGGATTTAAAAGGACTTAAGCAAACATAAAAAAAGGAAAAAGAAAAATGCCAAAAATGTTTGACCAGGATCTAATAAATAATTCAAGCATTTCCTCACCTAAATGTGCATAGGTTTTGACTCTTCATGAAGAGCTGGGCATAGAAGAAGGTCAAAATGACGTAGTCTTTGTTTTGTCTTGATCTAAGCCTGCCTCTGTTCCTGGTCTCAGTGTAGACAGAGACTGATTTGGTGTGATCAAGCTGGTAGGAAAGTGTGTTGGAATATTGCAGAAAAGTCTACATGACGGACTCTTTTTCACAAGGTTTGGGTCCAGCGGCCTCTTCTGGTTCAAAGTTGCCCTGTTTTTCGATGAGTGGACGAATTTCTGGTTTGGGAGTGGCATCATCCTCTTCTACTCGTATCTTATCCAGCTCCTCCTCCTCGTTTTTGTTGGGATGGCGATCAATCAAATACTGGAGAAGACCTGCTCCATAGGCATCACCTTCAACATTGATGACTGTGCATGTGCGATCACTAAATGAAGAAATAAAAGATAAATTTAAGATAAAAGATAAATAAAAGCTTTTTTTTTTTTTTTTACATTTTCAATTACATTTTAAAAGATTTACTCATATTTTACAACACTTTTTAGAAGATAATATACAAATCATAAATTCCAGAGTTTAAAGGGTCACAAAACACCAAAACACATTTTTTGAGCTGTTGACAGTCGTATATGTGTCCCACACTGCTATAAACACTATTAGGAAACATATATCTCACTAAAAAGTGAAAATTGGTAGTTTTTGCGTTATTTCGAGCAAATTCGTATTTCCGGTTTGAAACTAATTTTTGAAGCTGCGTCACGGCCATGAGATCTTAGCGTGTATTCCAGCGTGTAGACTGGACGTCTGTACCAGGGCGTCCCGTATTACGTCTCCGAGTGTGCTGCATTAATGCATGAGTAAGGCTTGGTTCAAACCAATTAGCGCGCTCTATTGTGCAACTTCATTAATATTCATTATTTTTACAGTGTAGACGGCAGAGACGCCACATTGTGTTGGTAAAACAAGCGTGCAGTGTTGCTTTCATAATTTGCTGAAGTCAAGTTTGGTTTTTATTTTCTCTCTGTGAGAGTGCAGCTGGACTACGTGTGGATTACAGTGTACACGATGCGGTGCGACAACAATAACTTGTTTACCCGAGAGCTTTTCTCTTCTGCAAATGGAGATCCGGATTCGCTGCTTGTCTCCTCTTAATAAAGACGCGGTTCTAGTTTTGGTAAGTGAGCGACCAATGGTCTTTGTTTATTCAGTTTATTCGTATCGAACTAACTATTACACCGAGTGTAAACATGTTAGCACCACAACCAAAATATTACCGTCGTGTAGGATTTACACCGCATTTTGAGACCGGAATAACACATGTGGCTTACCTGCCGAGTGCATTTTTGTTACAGAGAAAGGCAGAGTTTATTTTTTCTCTCATTCGCTGTGCGGTATAATAACATTGCATGAAAAATACACGCTTACAGCAGTTCCTCGAATCAAATATCTTGTTTGTCACGAGGGGCATGAATGAATTCCCTGAATGAAAGAGCCAAACTGCAGTTAAAGTCCACCATTTAATAATTTGGCAAATAATTCGATTACAGATGTCCATATAAACACAGTCACTTTCTCCCCTGTGTGTGTGTGTTTTGACGCTGAAACTCAGCGTGTGGTCAAACCGACACTCCAACACCATCCCTCTTTTGCTCCTCCGACACTCCCCCCCCTAAACAGAGCTGGACACGCCGACTTTTCTGGCTTTTTCTAAATTAGAGGTGTGAAAACATCCTGCTGAAACGAGGGGGTTTCATGGCCCTTTAAAGATGAAACATTTCACATGACTATTATTGTAAAACTAACAAACAACCAGTATCAAAAGTATCAACAAAACCAGAATATCAGAAAGGAAAACTGAAAAAAATCCCATAAAGTGAAAAAATTAAATAATTAAAAACAATATCTATTTAGCAATCCATGTAATTTTCTATAGAAAAAATATATTTTTTGTATTTCTTATAGTAAATATTTCAGTAAGTAAAAACTAAATGAACTACTTGTTTTATTTTAGAGCAAGTCAATGTTTATTTCATTGAATTCACACTGATTTGATATATTATGCACTGATTTTATACTTTATGCTTTTGCAATAAAAAAATGCTGTGCATCAGAAATTAGAGTGAAATTTGTGAAATGTGGAGACATTACATAGGTTTCCATTGTTTTATACCGTACAAACTGTATTATCTCTTTGCCCAATCCCACCCTACCTCTAAAACCAACCCTCACAAAAAAAACTTTCAGTAAAACTTTCTGCAAAAAAAAAAACCTCATTCTGTGTCATTAATAAGCTTTTTGAGAAATAACATCCGCAATGTTCTCATATTACAACAACTTCTTGTAATACCCGTGTCATACCCATGTCATTTTACAGATTTGTGTCCAGAATTTTAGCAAAATATAACACTAAATGTAAAATATATATGTCCAGCCAAAACCTGTAATACTAATTCAAATTAATTGCATTCATTATTATTAACATTGTTTTGTTATTCATTTAATTTGAATAAATTGTACTACTTTTTTTCAATTTTAATTTGTCATCATAATTACTCCCCACCTCCCCACACCACACAAACCCATCAAGCAGACACTCACACAAGCCAGTCCACAGCCAGGATGAGGGACAGGTCATTGGTTGGCAGCCCCACTGACTCCAGAATGATGGCCAGCGTCAACACTCCTCCAGCAGGAATCCCAGCAGCCCCCACACTGGACGCCGTCGCAGTCACACTAACACACATGATGATAAAGTCAATCTGAAGCCTCAGACTGCAGCAGTATGAAGGTAAACAACAGTCCGTGTACTCACAGGATAGTGATGACCTGCACAAAGTTCAGTGGGATCCCGTTCAGCTGAGCGATAAACACAGCAGCGACGCACTGGAAACATGCAGCTCCGTCCATGTTGACGGTTGCACCTATGGGCAGGATGAAGCGACTGATGTGCTTGGACACGCCGTTGTTTTCCTCAACACACTTCATCATTAGGGGCAATGTTGCAGAGCTGGGAAGAAAAAAAACAATAACAAAATTGTCAATTTACAGCGATTTAAGCTTCGAAAGCAATTATAGGTGTTCTTCATTAATATTGGCACCCTTGATAAACATGAGCTATGTGTATGTTGTTGAACCATTTGCTGTTTAAAGTATTAACAAAAATGCTAATTGGAAATACATGTTCGGCCTACTTTTTTGTGAAGCTGTATAAACCTATTTGCACATACAAGACTGTTATTTGAAATGAAGACACACAACAAGTGTGTGTGCACATAAGTTGCAGCACACACACACTTTTTTCAGGCACACCAACAGCACAGAGAGTAGTTGACTTGAATTTGAGTTTTTACCCTGATGGAGGCCATTTTTAACATATTTTTGTTTAAAGTTTAAGCTAAAGATTAAGAGAGTAAATAAAAACATTTATCATTGCCTTCTTTGCTCTTTTACCAAGGCCGTCAACATTAGTGGAACGCACTGTAAATCACAGATACAAATTTACCATTCAACAATACAACACAACAAATGTGAACGCTAATACTGTTATACATGATCATTTTGTCCTTTTAAAGGTTGCATGTTGTGGCATCATGTCCTATTTTTGTCTCTGGTACATGTTGTGATCATATTTTTGGTTACCCAACATAGTGTGCAAGGAAGTAGACAGAGATCTATCTTTTGAGCAGTCTCGAGATTAAAATAACAGCATTCACACTTTCTCAAATGAACTACACTGTGAACACACCCAGCATCTTGTTTTGTTGTATCACAACTCATTTCTGCAATAATGGTATTTGAAATATCCATTTTGCAGAGAGGTGAGATAAGAGTAATTCCAGCATTTTCAGTAAAAACTTAACATAAATACACAAAGTATGTGCTAACATAATATTGAAACATCTGTTTATATTTACTAAAAGAACTAACCACAGATTTATATGGGACCAGAAAAATATCAATCTGTAAAAGTTTTTTTTTTACATTTTAAATAAGGAAAAATAAACGTGTTATAGTTGTGACCAATAACGTCTTTAAATTTATAGTATACAACTTTGTAGAAGTTCTTTGAATTCAAATGCACAACTCCAAAGAAGTAATACTAATCAAAAAGATAATAGCTGGCTTACAATGGAACAAAATTGATTGACTATTTTATTTTAAATTGTTTGCATTTATAAGAAAAAAAATCTTCGCTATAGATGTGACACCTAGGGCTGTGACCATGGCAATTTTTTACAACCGCGGTGGTAAGTCACCAACAACCGCCGGTGTTGCGGTGGTCTTGATCTCTAAAGAAAAACAAAAAAACACGCAAAAAAAATTTGTCGTTAAATACATTATAGCAGAGACGCAACTGCCTGTCATTTTCACATTCTTTTTTTAGTTAGGGGATAGGTCTATATTGGGGATAGGTCGAGTAACCTAATAAAAATATTTTGTTGGACACTGCACAGTAGTCTACACTACAATTAATAATATAATTTATTATATTCATTATTTTTCAAACTAAGCTATACAATTGATAAAATGCCTTTTTAATGTTTGATTTTATTTTAACATCGCTAACAGTTGTAATAAGAAACATCCCATTATGCAGCAGTAGTCTTAGGTTAGTACACTTAGAAATGCCTTTTGAGTTTAAAGATGATCAGCCTGCGAAGTCAAGTTTACAGTGTCATAAATGAAATGGGTATAGTGCATGAGTAAAGGGGATTTGCTGCATCAGCCTCTCGTATGCGCTGCAGGTAGGCTGAATGATAATCTTTAATAAATATGCAATACAAAACTTTAAACATTTGTTTTTTGAAATAAAACGGAAAGAAATAAGGTGTAAAATATAACTTAAACCACTGGTCTGGCGCTGATCATTTGTTTGTAGCGAGAAGAAAAAAAAAAACAGATGAAAACCTGGCTGGGGAGATGGCGATAACAGGGATTATCTGTTCTTCAGAAAAGATTGTAGACATGACATTGTGAAGGCGTTTATCATACAACGGAATTCGTGTTTATGATCACTAATTAATATTAATTGCATATTAATAACTCTTCTCTCTCTAGACTTTGTTTTAAGGATTGTTTTTGTCGGCGCAATATAGTCTAGGTTTATTGCATGTACGAATCAGATTATGAAGAATGATTAAAAGCTTGCATTTATTATTGCATACTTTCCGCAAGTCATTTTGTTTATCTTGCCTATTTATTTTTTTTAAGTGGTGAGAACATTATTCACTGGCAAAAATGTTCCTCCCATAACACCAACAAATAAATTAGCCTACCTAAGTTAATTTACATTTTATGTAAAAAGGAATAATTTATAGCTTAATTAAATATTGATTACTAAAACATCCGTATAAATGTACGTGTATATTTTTGAACAACTAATAAAACAACACAATACAGCTTACAAATATTGTAGTTAAATATTAAATAACTTTAACTGCTTGAAACAGTATAATAATAATTAAATGTTACATTAAGAACTTCACTAATAGCCTAAATGGCACAAATCAGTAATATATAAATAGTAATAATTATAAGAGGTCAAAAATATAAGCCTACTAGTATCAGTATAAGTCAGAAATTAAAAAAAAAAAAACAGCGTAGGTTCTCTTCACTTTTTGTTTTCTAGTCATATTTAAAAAATTTTGTCTAACATGTTGACTTTGTCCGGTTTAAGTGAAGACCTAATTGGGGTTATAATGTTTCCAGCAAAACACGTTTAGACGGTGTGCTTGTATCGCAAATGCAAAGATCCTTTTTCACAATCGTGCAGAAGAGGGTTTCATCAATGGATTTGCTCTTCAGTGTTTGGACTTTTTTTTAAAAACACTTTAGAAACACTTTTTTTAAACAAACCCTACAAAAAGCTTAATCCAAATGAATTGGTTCACCTATCTCAGTCGGTCCAAAATGTACCCAGTGGTAAGATTTCGTTTTATAACAAGATTCAAAGTTAAACTTGAACTTGCTGAATCACACCTAATGTTATATTCTAACAGAAATGTAATACTTGGCAACATATCTAATTTGTCTTTTAAAGTGCGTGACGTCACATACTACCGGCGGTGGCAATGGACAACCGCAGTGGAAACTGACCCCCGCGGTGACCATCACAGCCCTAGACAGTTGTGAAATTGCCACTTTTGTGACTTTGTCAATGTTTTCAAACAGTTATATTGTATTAACCAAAGACGTTTTTACAGTACTGTAAAATACAAGCCTACACAAAAAAAAAAAAAAAAAAAAAACTTACCAAGGGTTTTGCTATTTTGGCGAAAACATTTTTCATGGCATTGTTGACATTTGCACGGGATTGTTTATAAAATGTTATTTGTGTGCTGCATGTATAGGTTGTTTACCCAAATCTGACCAATCAGAAGGGACCTTACTATTTTTATACCCTCCTCCCTAGTTGGTGCAATTACGCTATTGGCTTAACTGGTCCCAACAGTGAACGGAGTGCCACAGAGCAGAGAGCTGAAAATAAATACTAATTGTGGCAGTAAAGAGAAGCAATGAAAATAACAACAGCCAGTAAGAATATGAATGTCTGCTTTGAGTAATTTAGTCATTCAAAGTATTTTAAAATCTAAATGTGTGGACCTTGACATCTATTACACATTTATTTTAGTACTATCATTACATACTAATGGATTTTTTAAATTGCTGATAAAACTAGCATTTTTCCAGAGAAAAGTAATATCACACCAATATTGTAATCAGAATACAACATTGCATATAGTATCACTTTGACTGTATTAAGTAACCCAATAATATACTTCATAACTGAAATGAAAAAAGATGTACATTTATAAACTATGGCTGCTCAAAAGATCGCAAAATTATCGTTATCACGATAATGGTATATGTAATAAAAGTATTGCAGACATGTGAGGAATTACATTTAATGTATGCATTGCTTATCTACATTTGCCCAATCATATAAGGGCCTTACTATCTATATTCATTAGCGCTGTCAAAATTAGTGCGTTAACGCATGCGATTAATTTTAAATAATTAACACGTAAAAAAAATTTATGCAATTAACACAGTTGCAGATTTTTTTTTACTTCCTGCTGTGGTGGACGTGTGTTTAACATGCAAGAAATGTGGATAAGACCAAGAAAGCACTTTTTGAAGGCAAGTTTCAGTATAAAACAATTAGTCGCATCACCAGGCTCTCCAAAGTTTCATGCAATTTCGGGTGTTTCATTTTTTACTTTCGACTTCTGTTGTTGATACCGCATGGCGAACAGAAAGAGGCGTGTGCGCGTGAGACGTACCTGAAGGACGGTGGGGGTGAGTTGTGCACGACATAGGCTACCTGAAGAGCTAGGAGGGATGCGGGGAAGAGGGGTGTGCAATGTATTTAACGACCGGTTTGCGAGAAATTATCATTCATTTGCGGGCATTTGGGAGTCTCTGTGCACTTGCGGGACACTCCTAGTCTTAGCAACTGGATGAATGTAAAGAAGGATTAAGCAAAATTGTTTCTACTCTATAATTAATGTTCTCAACTCACAGCAATAAAACTTTACAATGAGTGCAACAGTTTGTATTCTATAGCTTATTATTATATTTTTTCATTTTCCATATCTGCAATTCCTGTATTTTGGCTTTTTTTTTGCAGTCCACTTAGAATCCAACATGGAAATCAATGTTTTCTTTATTGGCATTGATTGTTTTGAAATTTAAATGTGATTAACATGCCTGTGTTTTAATTTCTTTAATAAATATGGCTGTCAAGCCAGGATCTTGATGGTTTATTGTGGGTATGTTGTTTACATGAAGAAATCTGTGTTACAAGTTAAACAAAAATTCTATTAAACATTTATATTTTGAATTTTAATTCTAATAAACAATTATATTTTGAATTTAAATAGTTTTTGTCTTGCGTTTACATTAATTTTACATTTGAATAGCCAAAATTACAAGTTTCAGTATTTTAAATGCGATTAATCATGAATAATTAAAAAAAAAGGTGCGATTAATTAGTTAATTTCTTTTAATCGATTGACAGCACTAATATTTATATTATAATATCCACCTCCCCATAAATTGCTGTTCTGCTATTGGCTGGAGAGACCCAAAGATGAACCCACAGTTGAAAATAAATACCAATGGCTAGAGTAGAGAAGAGAGAAAAATAACAGCCAATCAGATTCAAAAATATCTCCTGAGGTTTTTATTTATTTATTGGTGTTTTAAAGACTAAATGTTTGTACCTTGACAAAGTTTCATTCATTTTCTTGTCGGCTTAGTTCCTTTATTAATCCAGGGTCGCCACAGCGGAATGAACCGCCAACTTATCCAACACGTTTTTACGCAGCGGATGCCCTTCCAGCCGCAACCCATCTCTGGGAAACACACACACACACACACACTGGACAATTTAGCCTACCCAATTCATCTGTACCACATGTCTTTGGACAGTGGGGGAAACCAGAGCACCCAGAGGAAACCCACGTGCACGCAGGGAGAACATGCAAACTCCACACAGAACGCCAACTGAGCCGAGGTTCGAACCAGCAACCTTCTTGCTGTGAGACGACAGCACTAACTACTGCGTTGCCCCTTGACAAAGTTTTGTAGTCAGAATTAGAATGAATAAGATTGGAAAAAACCTTTACCTGTTTATTTTTAATATACTTAAATGATCTAAAAACTAATAAAGAAATACAATTTTTCTAGGGAAATGTTACATCATAATTATTAGCGCTATCACGATGCTCAACAATACAGAATATTTTCCCAGTATTATGCAAACCTAAAACAGATAGATTTACCTTGAAAATGAATACTCTTAAGAATCTCTCTTTGCAGTTTACCAATTCATGGAAGTGCGAATGTGAAAAAGGAACCTTTATTTATTGAAACAGCAGTTGTTCATTTACCTGGAGGAGGTTCCGAATGCAGTAGCCAAAGCAGTGACCAATCCCAGCAAGAAAGTGTAGGGGTTCTTCCGTGTAATTATGAAGTAAATGAGAGGAAGGACGAGGAGCCCGTGGATGGCATGACCAATGACACAGCAGGCGATGTACTTCCCCAAGCTGGTGAACAGCAAGCTAACATCCTCCATTTCCACAATCTTGGCAGCAACCAAGAACATAATACCCAGAGGTGCATACCTGTAGAAATGATGATATGGTGTGATAAAAAGCAAAGAGATTAATGGATAGGGCTTCAAAATACAATCAAATCTGGAGCAAAATCAATAAAAAGTACATCATGTTTCCTTACCACATGATCCAGGAGACCAGCACCATGGTGGCCTCATTGAAAGAGTTGAAGAACTTCATAAGGATCACTCCTTCCTCTCCAAGCTTCCTCAAAGCCACACCAAAGGCCATGGCAAACACAATAAGACCCAGAATGTTCATGCCATCCACATCTGTACCGACTGGAACCTAAAATGCAAATCCATAATTTACAAAACTCTATCAAACCACTAAGATTTACATTTTTTATTTAATTCAAAAAGATATACACTGTCAGGGTTTCTGCAGATATCATAATGTCAAATGTAAAACTTTAAGACCTTTTTAAAACCATTAAGTATTAAATTTAAGAACTATATTGCAATGTCAAAAACATGCGAGAGAAAATGTAAAAATCACAAATTTAGTGGTAAGATAAGTGTATTTATATTGTACTTTATAACAGTACAGAAGGTTAGATGCACCATTGAACTACAGAAAAAACAAACTTAATGCTGATTAATCTTAATGCTGATTTATACTTTCACCTGGCCACATCGCACACCTCACGAAACAGACGTGGCTTTTATACTTGACGCGTTCACCATTGAGATATTTTTTTTTTACATGAAAGGGGAGGGTCAAAAGAAAAAGACAGTAAAATCAGATGAATAAAAACAGTCACTAATATCATTGAAGATGTTTTTGGGGGCATCTTATTTATTTTTTTATTTTTTATTTAATTATTATTTTTTTTGTTTTAACAAACTCATCTCTTAGGTTTTTCAAACTTTTACAAAAACCTTCCCCCTATCCCATGGCTGTTGCAATTTCTAGCCAAGAATTATTGGTCATCTGGTTCTCCCTATGATCACGCATGGACGGATCACAAAGATGTCAGTACAGACTTACCCGTTTCAGACAAAGTTTCCTAAAACTGTATCTTATTCAACACAAATCAAATGCGACGCCGAGCAAACTGTTCACCAGAGTGTCAAAAAATTCCATTAGCTTCGCTACAGCATTATTCCACTGATAAATGTTGTGAGCGTAGTATTATAAGTCAAGAGCCCATTCCTGAGCCCATTTCTCACTCTCAAATATGCACTTTCCCGCACAAATTATCTTGATTGTTCTCAGTACACTTTTCCCTCTTCCTTTCAAGCTTTTTGATATGATTTATATCAGTACACTATTTATTACCAATAATCAAAATACTGAAATAGATTTACATATTACATTTTTAATCTAATAAACCATAACATTTTGGCGATATATGATGAGATATTTCCAGTTTCAAACACTAAAAAACACACATAGAATAGTTTTATTTTAAAAACATTTATTAAACATCCGAAAGGTGCACCATAATAATAATAATAAAATAAAATTTTAAATATAACTAATGCAAGCAGAAATGTAACTGTGATAGAAAATAGACGAAAACCTAAAAAGGTATTATAGCCTACAGTACTATTAACTAAAATAAAGTGAACTAGTCTCTGCTGTACAGTGTTTTGAAAAGTGCAGTAAAGTACTTCAATTAATCTGTTGTCGTAATACGATAGTTGCTATGGTAACACAACAAGTGTATTATAAACAAATTACCCAGTGCTGTAGTTTTTTTTTTTTTACAATATATGGTATATTATACTACAGTTCGCCACACTTTACTGTAGTAAAACTACACTGTATTTAATTTTATCAGTTTACTATTCTTAATACTACAATATGCTGAAGCATCTCTGGAGAGCAAAAGCACGAAAAAAGAAGGAAACACAAATTTTGTGAGTCCGCATCGATGGAGCTAGACCAGACCATTTACATGTGAGCTGCCAGTGTTTTGCGTGCACACGAGAGGTTTTGTCCAGGAATTCGCTCTGTAGTATTCCATGAATACCCTCCCGACTTGTAATACTGCCATTATGACATTTGTCAGTGAAATATTGCCATACTCCACCAGCTAAAATCATGTGGTGCGCACCCACAGCGAACCTACGCAAACACAGCGATGACTTCATATTCTCCGCGCGCACTGAGATTGACTATTGCAAGTTGACATTTTTTGTAGTTGCAATACCGCAAATTACAATTGGACTAGTGAAATAAAGAACTACAACATCACGAAAACCTAGCAACAACAAAAAAGAATTTAAATGAGCATTAGATGTAGTGTTACATGGAAATTGGAAAAATAAGACCTGTGCAAAAATATTTAAGACCTAGAACAGCGAATTTAAGACTTTATGGCCTTAAATTTCTATTTTCAAATTATAGACTATAAGAACCTGTGTAAACCCTGCACTGTACATACGTACATGAATACTTTTATTATAAAGTTTTCTAATGTTTCTTACATTAAAAAAAGTTGCACAAACATTATATTTTAAATACAAGACATATTTCTATTATTTTAACTACTGTATTAAGACTAAAAGAATTTACCTTTTCCAATAAGACGCTAGAGTTGGTATCATTTTTGACAAACTTGTAACCAGTGGCATACTGTGAAGAAGAAGAAGAAGAAACGTTCAGAATCAAACAAACCACAACACATAAAAGTTGTTTTTTCATGTTAAACTAAAGCTTGTTAAACTCACCGACTGAAAAGCAGCTGCAACCAAGTTAGATGGGAAGATGTTTCTGAAAGAACAAAGAGAGAAGTTTCAGGTCTTTGACTTTCAATCCAGATGCCAATGAATTAAACAATTGCATCACAGTAGGGTTTCTGCAAAATAAATGGTCAACCATGTCAGGGTTTTTGTTATTCTGGGTGTACGACAAAGTGTAAATGGTCACACTTGGCCTCACAGACTTCCATTCATATGCATACGAATGCAACCGCCTGAAAAATGCAAGCTTGTTCGACAAATATCTTATGTTGCTGCATTCCAAAGTTAAGATTGGTGTAGACACGATGACTGTTTTCAAGGTTCAATCGCAGTTTGTAAAAGTATTAGGAGGTTTTAAAACCTCCAAATTTTTCTGTTATACCATTCCTATGGTATATATACTATTTTTTTATAAAGTTTTTTTTTCCCAGCAGAAAAGATATCTAAAGATGCTGTTTTAACACGTAAAGAAATCTGTGCTTTCGAAACTAATGATGACAGCAGAAGTCAAAGATTCATTTGAATTATTTAGCCTGACATGTATACTGTAAAAAAATATTTGAAATGTTTCTCAAAATAAAATATATTGTGTTCAAAGGGGGAAAAGTATTTTTACCAGCCATTTACAAAGAACCTATTTTAGAGTAGTAATCACAATAACGATTCCCAGAGATGGGTTGTGGCCGGAAGGGCATCCGCTGCGTAAAAACTTGCTGGATACGTTGGCGGTTCATTCCACTGTGGCGAACCCGGATTAATAAAGGGACTAAACCGACAAGAAAATGAATAAATGAATGAATCACAATAACTAGAAACCATTGTATTTTATTCAAGGTTATCATACCATCAGAACTATATACCCGCCCACGCCTAAATTGATAACCAGCAAAATTAGATTACAAGATTGTAAGAGACCAATAGAAGATTAAAACAAGAACTCACTTTACAGAAATGTAAAATATAAAGCAATCGCTTATTTTTCCAATGTCTAATCATCTTGTTTTATCCCACCTTTTTATGCAGCGCTGTATTTTGCATGCTCAACTCTAGCGTAGGGCTGCATGATTAATAAAAAGATCACAATCTCAATTACACCCTACACACAATCTTAATTCTGCTTTTTCTATGATTCAGCCAACTATATTTTCAAAGTAAGGAGAGAAGTAAGGCAGTCGCACAAGTATTCACAGGAACTTGAACACCTTTTAATGGCGTTAAAAGTGTCACTTACTATATTTATAAGATATATTTCACCCAAAAATGTTATTTCTGTCTTCATGTAATGATGTATTCATGGCCACAAAATCACAAGTGAGCTGAAGCACTGTTTATTTACTTCCGAGAACGCGCACATGCAAGCATGTCGCCTACTTAAGTGAACACTTTAGTGGACCTGTATAGGCTGTGAATAACAGATAATGAAGTTGTAAATAACGTTCAGTTTGTTGCACAGAGATCGTTTGAGGGCCGTGCGGGAGGTTTGATTTGCTTGTATGTGTTTTTTCCTCATAGTGACAGCATCCATGAGCCGCACTCAGAAGTGAAAGTGAAACTTGTGCGCACATCATTTGAATGACCACATCGCATTTTAGAGTTATGATTTCGACAAGCATTTGATGTTTTTTCTTTCATAGCGAACACAGTGTTGTGCATGAAAATAAATGTTTACTGTGTCAGTATAACAACCCTAGCCTATATATAATGTTGAATATAATGCAAGAAGGAATCTGATAATGACAAATATCTCATTTTACCTGTGAAAACAAATGGTCTAGTGATGTTGTCAATAACAGATGACAAGCACATGTCTTAAATATAACAAATCAACTTTATGAATAGTTATATTCTGATGTCATCATTTTACTGTGAATTAACAAACAGGACATATCGAAAGTCTGTTCAAGTCCACCATAATGACTATACAAAATTTAGCATTTTAAGCAACAGACCTACACATGGGCCTAATATTATTATTGTTACCATTTTGAAATAGGTGAGAGAATAAACAATAATAGGCTTATCCTATTAACTTTTATTTTACATTTACAGAATCTTGAGAAAATCGTGATCTTGATTTTAAGCAAAAAAAAAAAATCGTAATTCCAATTTTTGCCAGAATCGTTCAAGAGACTAAAGGAAGCGCAGAATGGTTAGCTCCTACTTAAATCAGGTCAGCAATCTGATGAGAAATTTTACCTATGATTCAGATTAACGATTGTGGATTACTTCAAACTGCAAATGTGAGTACAGAATAGCTTCATGTACAATATTCCTCAGTAAATGTAGCATTCAGTTGTGTAGCACTACAGCCAACTAACAGCCTTCCCAGGTCCAAATGCCTGCCTGTAACACTACTTATTCTCATGGGGTGTTCCTGGAGAACCACCAACACTGCATGTTTTTAAAAGTCTCCTTTGTCTGTCACAACCATATATGCTAATGCAGATTTCAGTTGCAACCCTGACCAAACGCACCTGTTTGTAATTATCAAGTGCTGCTTCAGGTCCTAATTAATTGGTTCAGGTGTGTTCGACTAGTATTGGAGCTGAATTTGGCAGGAAGGTAGCTCTACAGGAACAGGGTTGGTGACCCTACGTTTTTTTTCTCTATGTATTTTTATTAATACCGGGTCACCACAGCAGAAAGAACCACCACGTTATCTAGTATCCAGCACGTTTTTATGCAGAGGATGCCCTTCCAGCCGCAACCTATCTCTGGGAAACATCCAAACACACTCACACACACACACACACACACACACACACACACACACACACACACACACACACAACGAACAATTTAGCCAACGCAGGGAGAACATGCAAATTCCACACAAAAACGCTGAGGCTCGAACCAGCGACCTCCTTGCTGTGAAGCGACAGTACTACCTTCTGTGCCACTGCGTCGCCTAGATGAGACTCCACAACAGATATTTATTTCGACAAGCACTTACACCAAGGTCAGACACAACTTTGGCCAATTTTGCCACAGTCAATTAGACAAAGGGTCTTCAAGGTCAAGGCAAAATTTATTGTCTCCCGTAGAATTTGTATTAGAAAAAAGGTTCTGCTGTACATAGACACCAACAAACAACATGTAACATACACACACATTAAAATCTAATCTTAAAATAACTCCTAATATAAATACGATTCCATAAAATCAGTAATTTAAAAAATATGTATATAAAAAATAAAATACAATGTGCCCCACTGCCCTCTGTTGCGCCAACCAATCCCGTTATCTTAATCTTTGACCATCCTTCCCTACTTGCTCATTGATCAACTTAATTGAAAAAGGAACTAAAGAATGTTTATATCTATTGTACTTGCATAACAGGATCCTGTATCTTCTGCCAGAATTCATCACCTCATACTCCAAAGACAGCACATGTGAAGAATTAGATAAAAGCTTGTTGGATTGTGCACAACCAAGTGACTTAATTCCCATGATTTTCCTGCCACGATTATCAGGTTATTTACTTGGGTTTTCATTTTTACTGTCAGATTCCCTAACCAAACAATAATCCTATATCTTAAGATAGACTCTATTGTTGCTTTATAAAAAGTCTGCATTTTGCTGCTACTCACTCCGAATAATCTTAGTCTATAAAATGTGTAATCTCTGATGAATTCTTACACAAAGACTTGACACCTGAAAGTGCCAATTAAGTTCACAATCAATTTTCACCGCTAAATATTTATGAATCAACCTGCTTAATTTCTTTATCATGAACCACAACAGAGCTACTATCGCTCACTGACCTGGGGTCTATGATGACCTCCATTTTCTTAACATAGAACATAGAAAGTGATTAATGCACAACAATGGGAATCGAGAGGCCAGAATATGGAGTTTTATTTCCTACAGCGTGTCAATACAAATTTAACACCATGTCTGGAACTGTTTCAGTCAAATCTGTTACCTTGACCAATAGGAATGCAGATCTTTTTTTAAAAGGGCCACTATAAATGAGGATTCTCCCTCAATCCCCGGGTCTAAATTATAGATCTGAATGCAGACTCAGTGCAGCAGGTCTCCTATTTTAACCATTAGCCCTGCTGGTAATATAGAGGATTTAGGCAAACACAGCAGCACAGCGATGTGTCTGAATGTGAATGAACTTCTGATAAATCAACGTCCGCCATTCTTCAATTCTCGTACTGCTCTCCCGACAAAAATGCTTGCAGCACACACACAGCTTTGCTGTATGATTGGCCCTGACAAGATCGCGGGAAAAAAACATGCAACAAACCCCGTGGATCATGGAAACAAACACATACGAGCCTTCATGAACGGCTACTTCGTGCCGTGGGTCCGTGTCTCACAGCTTGCTTGAAACTGGCAGGTCTGCCTTGCCTTCGGAAAGCACGTGCTCTCATGAATAATTAAGCAGCCGGCTCTTCTCAAAGGATAAGAAAACTCCGCTATGAATAATAATGAGAAACCGACGCGTCATCATTGCACTTGCAGTACTGCGCTACGTCGCCGATTTTGATCCCGCCCCAAAAATCATTTTAAACCCGGAAGCTAAAATTAGCTGACAAAAGCTCAAAATTATCCAGTTTTCCCCACAATTAAAGGTGACAGGTGCTAACATTGTCTTAACTGATGCTCAACACACACACATCTGTTAATATAAAAAAAAGTTCTTCAGGGTGTCCTGAACCTTTAATGAATGGCCTTCAAAAAGAGAAATTGTAACTATAATGGTATAAGTGCTGCTAGGTGCAATGTCAATTATTTTTTTTATTATATTATTATTATATTATATTTATTAAATTATTTTTTTCTGTTTTTTTGTCTGTCATTCGTGGGTCGGGAAAAGCGTCTATTCTGATAAATTTCTTGTCCAAAACAAAAACCTAGCAGTCAAAAATCACATTCTAACGTTCTTGCAAACAAATACATGTTGACACAGTATCAAATGAAGTATAATTAAAAAGGCTGTGCATCTAGCTGCATATATACACTGAGCTTTCACATCAAAACCAAATTATATCTTGGGCATTAGCCACAAGGTGGTGAGAG